ATATATATATATATATATAAATGATTATTGAAAATAAAGAAATAAACATATATCGCTAGCTTAGAAAGAAAAGTTGCTAAGTCCCATTTTAAAAATTTTACAGGAGAGGAAAAAATCTTCCTATAGCCATTTTCTTTAACTATTTCGCAAGACTTTGAATCAAACATTTTGCGCGTTTAAAGCAAAGCAAAACTCCATAAGAATCAGAAGGATTCGATATTTATTAAAAGATGTCGTATTATTTTGGCCTTATCGGATTTGTGGTGCTTCTTTTGTACTTAGCAAATTTTCCTTTCATTGCTTATGAAGAGGAAAAAATAAAACAAGAACCTTTATAATTTTCGAAACGATGCGTATTCAATTTCTTTAGCCTCCTATATCAAAATATCAGTTTTCATAAAAAGTGGACTTAGCAACTTTTCACTCTAAGCTATCGATATAAGATGCAAGCAACACTATTCTGAATTTTGGTGCTATTATTTTGGCCGCAAAATACGCCATCAAATCGTGATTTAATCATGACCTACTGAAAATCAGCCATGGCTAGGGATGGCAAAAAAAGTTAAAAATTCGATTAATTAGTCATATGATTAATCACAAACTAAAAAGAAAATGAATTGCAATTATTGAGATCTAATCGGTTAATCCAATTTTTAAACTCATTTTTTTAAAGTGAGTATTCACAAAAACACTTTTCCATAAAAAAAATTCTAATTCTCTTGTTAATTGGCCTTAAATAAAATAAAACGTGTACACTGAGGGAAAAAAATTTTAGAACTAAAAAAAACGTGCCAAATTTCAAAAAAATACGCATATGAAAGAGCATCAACCCAAGTTGTTTTAAATTTGAGTTGTGAAGTGCACAGATGCTTTTTCGTAATTAAGAAGAAAAAAAAATTTAACTTTATGTTCCGTCTGATGGTAATTGAACCCGGACCCTCTTGGCCGCAACCAATTGTATCAAGCGTCTTTGCACACTCAGTTACAGCCATACATGTAAACGTGCTTTCAAATGTGCATTATGTAATACCATGGATGTGTATGCTTTGTATACATACATTTGTATATGAAAAAGCATCCGAGACGTGCAAAACGCCATCCGTGCAGTGAAAAATTCTTCATTTTAATACGGCGTATTTGAATTGAATATTTCCATTATACGTAGTGTATGTATAATGGAAAAATCCATTTCGTTGACATTTTTCACTTGATTTAAATACGAACCTTTTTAAACGGAAATCAAGACAAATTTTTTTATTCTTACAACGCTTTTTTTTCTCAGTGTATTTTTAGTGGCGAAATTTGGTTATTATTTAACCAAGTTTACAAAAACAAAAGTTTTGATAAGCGTTTTATTGCCAAGCGGTTGCGTTTCTCGGTGGCTGTAGTACCAGGTTTTAAAAAAGGTGCTCACGATACACGTAGGTACCAACTAGGTATTTCTGTAAATTCGCTATAAATTTTGCTGGGTGACTTCAAAATCGTCAATCGCATAATGGAGTCAATATTGGTCACAAGCGAAATCTAAAAGTGAATAAAACAGATGTCGAATTTCGAAAACTGGGCGATACTAAATAGTTATAGAAAAGGTTTGAAATATAGGGCGAAAGGTGAAATAACCCGAACTTAGACTACTTGCCTTGTTTTCAATAACTTTGTTGCATTTTTTTTTTTTTTTTTTAATTGCAATGGCACTTTTTTCACATCAGCAGAAGAGTTTAAATCTCAATGTATGTATTGTCCCCTAGTGAAGCATAGTAATACATATAATTAAAATTTCCATAAATTGGTTTAATTAAATGAAAATCCCATGCCTTACTATCAAAACAGCAGCGTCTGCAAAAAAAAATCCAAAATATTTCGCGAAAAGAGCGATTAATGTAAAAATATCACGCTTATAAATATTTAATATTAATTACTACACACACACATGCATGCACACAAACCGAAGGTGGCTTTTTAATTGCATGTCTATGTTGACACATAAAAGTTAAGGTGGTTTTAATATAAATGTAATAAAATGGTAATTAAAAAGCTGAAAATAAATTGGCGATTTAAATAAATATACACTGAGACAATTTTATGTTAAATTTAATTATGTAAATAAAGGTTGTGGGCAAAAATAGACAACTGACTATTATTTATTTTTTTGGTGAAATTTAAGCAAACACCAGGCGACAAAATATTATCTTATAATGCAAGAGCTGGCTAATTAATCAGTAGATAGTACCTTAATATTTTTTCATGTCAAAGTGTATGAAGAAAAACTAGTGAAGCCACATGGCGTTAATACACCAAAAAATCGAATTTCAAAAACTTAAAAAATATTCCAAATGTTAGTCAGAGTTGTTAGAGATCCGAGTGCCATTTCTAAGTGAAGAGCAGTCTCGCATTGTGCATGTTTTTATTTTCATCGAATTCTAAATCAGCCTTTACGGATTAAAAAAGTTATTAAATAAAAAAATAAAAAATAAAACTTTATCATACATCTACAGGCTAAGGTCTCTAATTTGACAACTCATTTTTGAAATTTCTTTTCAAAAGTATTCTTAAACTAAAATTTTCTTAAAACTCACCACATGTATTTCAATAAACTGATGACATAATTCGAATTTGCATTTCAAATTCCATAGTAGAGTTTTTTTTGCAGCATTTTCTGTTGCAGAATCGAAACCATTTTTAAAAGCCCAATGGTTCTTCTTTGAAACTTATGATTATTGAATGTGTAAATTCAGAACGCACTAATTGATCTGGTGCTTTAATTAAACATGAGATAGGTTGGGATAAGATCTCCTAGATCGCAGTGTTCCTTGTATTGAAACATAGTAATATATTATTTTTAAATGTTTCAATAAGCTAAAAAGTTGATTCCTATTGAATTTTTATGTAAAACACCGCATATCCATAGGGTTCTCGGAAACGGTTCTAACGATTTTGTACACAGATAATATTTTGGATTTTAAGGTTTTATGAATAGGCACTACCTCCGAGAAGACTCGTATAAGGTTGCCACCTATTCGAAATTAGTTACAAATTAATTAACAAATCATAATATGGGTATCAAATGGAAGGTATTTTAAAGATCCCTAATTCAAAAATATTTTAATAGGGTTGCCACTTATTTTGAATCGTATACTTATTTAATTTTTTGTTTAGAACAAAAATAAAGCATTACTATTCATGTGTACAAAGAAAAGGTTCTTGAGCATTGCTCTCCCTAGATACAAAATGTTACCCCTAGGATAATAGTGTAAGGTTGCCACTTATTTTCGATACAACACAATTTATCTAAAACATCGCAATATGGATATCAAATAAAAGGCATTGTTGAGCACTTTGGTCAGAAAATATTTTCCATCAGGGTTGTCATGCTTCTATGTAATCCATATATTTATTTTATTAATTTCAATCAGAATTTTTTTTTTAAGTATACACAGTACATATACGCTCAAGATATGTGCCATACATTCCAGCGTATTTCGGAATAGGGTTACCACCTAAATTTTGGGGTAAGAAATTTACTTAGTAGATATCGAAATGCAATCCAAATCTTGGTGAACCCGGTAATTCAGAATTATGCACCAAAAAATTTTATATTTTTTAATTTTACAGGATTTTCTCTTTTATTTGATACCAACAATCTAATTCTACATTACTCTGAAATTTTTAAATAATTTTTTGAAATAATCATATTTTTGAAATTTCAAAGTCCTTAAAAAAATCCTGACATCAGAGTGAAAAATGAACAACGCAGATTTACTATATTTTGCCCATATTTTCGATTAATTTTTGTGTATGTAAAATTTACTGTCGCACGGCGTAATCAGATCTAACGGTTCGAGTTATTCAGTTTATTCTATATTTTAGGAATTGTTTACTATAAATTGGAAAAAAAAAATGCTTTTTCGCAATTTTCGAACCCCTTTATTATATCGAATAACTAGACAAAGTGTATATATTGAATAACATGTATAAAAATAAGCTTTAAGCACTGATCTACTACGTTTGGTAATTTTATAGTTGTGTAATTCGGGCTTTTTGTAACAATTTTAAAACCTTCATACTGTTCTGATTAGCCTCCAACATGTCCAGCACTATATTCCCTTAATTCAAGTCGCCTTTTATAGTAGGCGTGCTGGAATTTTGATAATGGGTTGAGTACGCCTTCCAGGAATTTCTGAAATGTCTTAATACGATTACTATATAAGTACAGTTGTGTTAAAACACGACGGTTGTGAACACCTGTTACGATTATTTATTATATCTCAGCACTTAACCTCACATAACACCGAATAAACATAGGTTGCAGAGTTGTATCGTCATGTGTTATTTTTCTTCACAAAACAATAACAACATTTTTACAACTGTCATGAAATATCATGACTTCACGACAAACACGACAAATACGACACCTTGTGAATTGCCCAATTAAGTAGACTGCATCACCAAAAAAAAGTTGCGGTTTTCCCCGGGGATTACACAATTTATTATATTTTAAGACGTCCACCAAAATATTTCGGAAAACTATTAAGATTTTTTTTTTTTTTAATCTTTAAGAAATTATTTTTATTCATAAAAAACTCCATTTTTGGAGGTATTTTCAAATCGGTCCAGCTCACGTAAATCTTAATATTTTTCCGAAATATTATGGTGGACGTCTTAAAATATAATAAATTTTATAATTCCAATGGAAAAACGGTACCGATTTTTTTTTTTTTTTTTGTATGAGGAGTGATGCAGTCTAGTGTACATGTATCTCAAAAGATCTAAACAATAACAAGCCTGCATTTTTCGCATAAGTTCGCCAAAAACAAAATGAAACAAAACCAATTGGATGAACAGTAAAGACATTTTTAATACACATATCTACTATATTTATATTTGAGGAATAGCTTGAAGTGGTTTTGAAAATAGCAAATAATGCATATATTACTACATACATATGTAAATACATATACACATACAATACAGATAACAAAAAGTATATGGAAATAGAATTATGTATTGGTAAAATTAAAATAAGTTCTATCAAATAAAAGTAATTACTAGCGATTCTCGTTGCTTAAACTAGCAAACGATAAATCAAACAAAACAATACAACTTTGCTAAAATAATCAACATTACAGCTAACAAATATTAATTATAATTAGAAATACTTTGCTGTTTAACACGAATAAATGTATTTTTATATGTTATTTTTCTAGCCATGTAAACACAAAAACGGAAATGGAACTTATTTGTTGAAATTTTTATAAATGTTTTGTGCGCTGCAGCATTGGTCGCCTAATTTTCGTTTATTAAATATTTATAAATTTTTCTTTGCATTTATTTAATATCACTCTTTTCATACACATATACATACATATACATATACATATGTATATAAATTTATCTATGTATGTATGTATGTGGCGTTCAATGCTTTTTAACTGCAAATCATGTAGCATCATCCCTATCCATACGACCCTGAGATATACTCGATCGCTTGCCATTAGCGTGGTGATGTTTAACTTCATCTTGATTGGAGACAGTGATCTTTGAATTACTTAGATCGGTTTCTTCGGGTATCACTGTGGTAGTATCTTGATCCTAAGTGAAAGGGAAAGGAAAGAGAAATAAATTTACAGTTATTGATGGGCGTTAAGCTTTTTGTTATATTCAATAGTGCACATGCACTTGAAATTGTACAAATGTTACAAACAATGTGTTTGTAAATACAAATGAACATATTACAGGGGAAATTTTAAAAGGGAATAAAAATGTAAAGCATCTAAATATTTAGTATAAATTATGTACAGAGGGCGGAATAAAAAGTCCACATTCCGGTCAAGCAGTTGGCATGGCACACAATCAATGCTAATTTTAATTATATTTTGTTAATAACAGAGTATACATACAAATATGCACATACGGTTTCGTTTTTCCATCGGAAATATAAAATGTATTACATTTAAGAATTCCGACAAAATATTTCGAAAAAATATAGGGAATTAAGTTAGTTGGAACTATTTGAAAGTACCTCCAAAAATCGTGTTTTTCATAAATGAAATTAGTTTTAACAAATACTTTTTTCTTTAAAAGAACCTTAGATGATATTGGAGTTTAAGCTTAAAAGGTCTGCATAAAAATGTTACAAATTTTTATCAGCGGTATCAAAATAATGCGATTTTTGGTGGATCCAGCTCTCAAAAATCTTAATATTTTTGCGAAAGAGTTTGACGGAAGTAAGTAATACATTTTATAATTCCGGTAAAAAAACGCAACTTTTTTTTTGTGATCAATCCTCATGTAAATACATACATTTGTTTAAATTCATTGTTATATGCCTTATGTTCTAAGAATTTTTTAATCACTCTGATTTATTTCGTATTACGAATAGGTTCAAATTAATAAATAACGAGTTCATGCAAACATATTTCCAAATATGGCTGTTTTTATTCACAAATTAAAAAATGTTTGCAAATATTTACAATGTCGGTACTCAATTAATGTTCTGCGAGCATTATGACTAAGAAAAAATCCATATTTTTTTAATTAAGTTCCAGTTATGTTAAGAACCACCTTGTAAACGCTTTGTGTTCGGTTTCTGTTGAGGAGCTTACTAATAACTAGAATTCGCCTAATGATGGGTATTCTAACATTCTTTTTTTTTGTATTTAAAGTACCAATTTTCGGGATGTCTAAATTCTAAATTTAAAAAAAAAATGGTTAAAATTTATGGTAGAGGAAAAACTAAAGCAATTAACACCTTACCTTCTACCTGCCTCAACTCACCTTACCTTAATTCACCTCAACTCAACTCAATCCACCTCACCTAATCTGTGCTCAACGAAGCAAATCACAAATCAATTTTATTTCCGAAAATCCCGAAGTAGCCCCTAATAACCCGAAACAGCCTCGAAAAGCGATAACTATTGCGAAAGACCCGAAATAGTCCTGTAAATACTGAAGTAGTCTCGAAGATTGCGAAATAGCGCCTACAATCCTGAGATAGTTCTGAAAACCCTATATAGTCTTGAAAATCTTAAAATAGTATCGAGAAACCCGAAAATTGCGAAATAGTCTTGAAACCCCTACATAATATAGTTCCGAGAATCCAGAATAAAAAGCTAAAATTAGTCCCAATAACCACGAAATAGTGTCGAGAATCTCGAAAAGCCCGCGATAGTCCCGAAAATTCCGAAATAGTCTTGAAAATCCCTAACTAGACCTGAGGATGCCGAAGACCTTAAAAATCCTGAAATAGTCACGAAAATAAAGAATAAGTCCCAAAGACCCGAATATCCCGAGGTAATTCTGAAAGTATCGATATAGTTTCGAAAATCTCGAAATAGTCTTGAGAACTCCAAAACTACGAAATTCCTGATATAGTTCCACCATTCCCGAAGAGGTGTCGAATCACAAATAGTTTCGAGAATCTCGAGAATATAGAGACACTCCTTTTTTTTGATAATTTTTTATAAAGATATAGTTCATACTACACCAAAAAAAAAACTTAAAAATAAAATCTTTGCGCAAATCTCAGCAAAATTCAATAAATTTGCTTACGAATTTGCAACTTACTATTCAGATTTTTTTGAAAAATTCTAAGTATGCATTTTTATAGCCCATTCAATTTTAGTATAACAATTGCATTAGATAAGGATTAGGGATATGAGCCACCTAACAGTAGTAAGGGACTTTGAATCTCGAAAATCCCGCGATAGTCCCGAGAATCCCGAATTAGTCTTGAAAATAATAAATAGGCCCGAGAAACCCGAAACCTTGAAAATACTGAAATAGTTCCGCAAATCCAGAAGAAGTCCCAAGACCCGAATATCCCGAAGTTCTTTATTTTTACATTTGGTATACGTGCATCTGCCCGTGAGTATGCCTGAGCATTGTAAAGCCATACTACATTTACATAGTTACAAATCCCTAATACCAAGCGAAAATTTAGGCGCTTAACTGTGTGCACAAATAAATTTACAATCACACCCGAGCAACTACACCATACTGCCACGAATTTCTGTTTGTTCTGCATACTCAGATTGCATAAATTTTTGCTTTTGTTTTACCCTTGTATTCCTTTTATTGCTTCAACAGCTTTAATAACTAACCGTTGTGGCAGAACGTTTTCTATATGATCAGTCACCACTTTTAAATTACTCATACAAGCACATACACAGGAGCCCAGTACGAAAACAACACCAGACGACATGAAAGTCGCCTTAAAAGCATAAAGAGCATTATAAAGAGCGAAATAACTCACACTAGAAGCTTGATAAACCAAGCAAAATTTCAAATTTCTTCAAGCCATTAGGGTTGTGTATGGGGGTTTTGAGTCTGCTCCTATATACTCACTTTCTTTTTAATCCTTCCCCAGGCAAAATATTTCTTTAAGGGAAGTACGTGGAAATTTCGGTGCTTTTTCTTACCTTCTAGATGACCGTTGCCTGACTTGGGCAATAAATTCGTTCAAACACTTCAAATCCCCAGGATCTCTACGTGAGCTGTGTATGATAAGGGTGTATGTATTCCCGAGGGTTGTCAGGGTGGTGTTCATACCGGAGGCCGGAAAAAGATCTTATGTTTCTAAAGAAAACGGTGGAGCTACTGGTTGGCCTGCACCTCCTCGAGACCGATCAACACGCTTATAGTAAATGAGGGTCGGTAGAAACTGCATAGGACACAATTTTAAGGTTGACGGCAGAAGCCTTTACTCATAAAGATTTTGCCGTAGGATGCTTCCCCGGTATCGAGGGGCTTTTAATAATGCCCTGTCGGAAGCAATACTTGCAGAACTGTCATGGCAGTATGGGACTGCGCTTGCCTGCATCGCACAGTGAATAGGGACTTTCCTCAGGACGGAGTCCTCTCACCCTTTCTCTGCGTCGTAGTGGTCAACGATCTGCGAGAGGAGATGGAAAAACGCGGTTGTCGGGGAATTTCCTACGCAGACGATGTTGTACTTATGGTTAAACTTGGTACTTTTATACCCGTTATTAACTTTCACAACGGTATCCTAATTTGGTTACAAACTGGTCGGCCATAAGTGGCCTCGCCATCAATCCTAGTTAGACAGAACTGATCTTATTGACCAGAAAGTATAAAATCCCTGCACTGGTCTTCCCTCTGTTGGAGGTCAGCACTTACAGATATCTGACAATGTCAAGTAATTACGCTTGATCTTCGACAGGAAGCTGCAATGGAGGCCGAACATCGAGGAAAAAGCAAGGAAGACATCAGTGGCCTTATGCTGCTGTAGGGGAGTTATTGAACGAAGATGGGGAGTTTAGCCCAAAGTTGTCTATTGGCTTTAAGAAACCGTATTCAACCCTATTTTGTATTTATAGAGCTCACTTGAGAAGGCTGCACTAGCTAAGAATACAACGGGCTGCTTTAATTGGTATTAGTGGGGCACCGCAAACCACTCCAATTTTGTCACTTAATGCAATGCTGAACGTAGTGTCTGTCGACATTGCAGGCAGAATTGCCGCAAGGCGAACCGTTATTAGACTCAGGTAAACCAACTGGTTGACCGAATTAAACACTGAAAACTCTGGAGTATTGGAAATGGATTGGGCCGGGCGTAATTTCTTGAGAGGGGGAGCAGTGGATTTCATCACGGATCACGGACGGAGGGGTATTCTATCGAGAGCTTTACATCAGTACTAAGTTCCGGATTCAGGACTAAGGGATTCTGTTTCAGGCAAAAGTGGATGCTATTAAGGAGGCAGTATATTCACTGCTCAGAAGTGTGATGACTTTAGAGAGGTGGGTGTTTATTCTGATGGCCAAGCAGCTATGAGGGTCTTAAGTTTATTGGAGGTGCGCTCTAATTTAGTTAAAGGATGTCTGCCCTTTATTTCAGTTGCGTCGGAATAGTCCTGTATTAGGTTTATATGGGTTCCGAATCACAGCGGCATTGCGGGAGAACTTTGTGGCAGGCGAATTTGCTAGAAAGGGTACCCTTGAAATGTTATTGTTGAATAAGGAGCGGCTGGGTGTGCTGTCCAATCGGTATCAATTCAGTAAGGCCCGGAAGATGACGAGATGGACTCAACTTAGCACTAGATTCTTAGGTGTCCAGCTTTCGCGAGGCTAAGATTAAAATACTTTGGCTCTGGGGCATTGAGATTAGCAGAATTCGTAATTATATAATCGCCGCTCAAAATGTGGTACCACAAAGGATAATCTTTTAATTGCCAAAGTGAGTTTCTTACTTCTGGGATTGCCACCAAACCTAACCTATTGGGATTATTGAAGTTACGACAAACCGGTTGAGGGAAATTTAAACAAATATCAATTTTTTTTTTCTGGCCGCTGTGTGGAAGTCTGACTAAACCGCCGGCAAAAATCACCTTATTCGTAACGAAATTTTCAGGACGTAGGAGGGAAAAAAGGAAGAAACCCAGACCTATTCGGTCAGCACATATCAGCTATGTATGATTCGCTGACGTTATTGTCCTTGGTGAACCATTTTCAACTGGGTACAAAAATTCGACCATTAATCACATTGAAGCTATTTGTTCAACTCCAAATAAATTGCGTAGAAACAAATAATATTGAAATTCACATAAATACTATTTGCATATGTGTGTAAAATA